ATACAAAAACAAAACTTAACAAAACACTGTAAACAATTTTAGCCATTGGTTGTTCTTGTCAACTATTAAAAGAAATCCCAAATAACTAAATTTATTTCAGTTTGATATATATTGATCTAACGTGAAAAATTAATAGTGTGTTGATCCAACGACGAAAAATTCAGCAAGAGCATAGAATCGAGTTCCCAATTTATGGAGTACCTAGTCACGCTAGGACATTTATTTCGTTATTATTAATTTGTGTTTTGTGATCAAACGATAAAGAATCTGACGAGAACAACGTCCCATTGGTATGAGTGACCAACAGTGCAGTTCGATGAAAAACCGCAGAAAACCACAACAATAGAAAAATAAAACGTTGAAAAAAAAATCGAACAGTACCGCAACTTAAAAAACAAAAAACACACCAAAACCGAACTAAAATTTTTCAAACTAAAATAATTAAACTAAAATAACCGCACCGAAAAGCATAGTTCAGCTCGTTTTTCAATTTTATTTTAATTTTTCTATACATTTTATTCAATTTGATGGTGCGGTGCAAACAGAACCAAATCGAACAAAATCGAAATCCAAACTTAAGAAAAACTAAAACATCCTGCACCGTAATTTAGGACAAAAAATCGAATCAAAACCAAACCGAAAAAAGAAGCACTGAATTCCATGGTTTGGCTCGATTCTTTTCTTTCGAATCGATTTTGCTCACCTACCAATACTCATTGGTAGGATCAAATTTGCCCGACAACACATCAAAGCAAGATGGCTGCAATAAAATTACTTTTTTAGGGTAAAAAAACAATTAGAGTCCTGAACCTAAAAGTTCAGCTTTTCGTACAAATCCCAAGTAGGCTAAAGTTAAAATGTTCATGCTCTACACAGCAGCACATTATTCTCACTAGCTTCATTAAATACTTGACACAAAATGGCACGAAAAACGGTCGAGATTGAGGCCAGAAATCTATAATGCCGATTGGAATATCATCTCTGCCAACTCCTACAAAACCATATTCCGAAAAACATGTAAAAGTATTGCCAAAAAGCACATACGAAGCTAAATGTACTCATCCCACGAAGCTCGTCACCATTTTCTTATTTAGAAAAGTATTTTTGACATTTTCTTATTTAGAAAAATTCGCCATTACTTACGTTGTGTAGTAACTATGTCAAAACTGGAAATTAATAGTTACCTGCTTAGCAGAGGCAACTTTCGGTTCTCCCCATTCAATAGCCTTCTTCTCGAGATAGTCAAAATCAGCCTTACCGGCCTGTCAGATAATTTCACGACAACCACTAATTGCATGCTTGGATACAATTTTTTCCAAGAAAAATCATTCATTTTTAACCAATCACTTTTTTTTTTTAACTCAACTTTAACTCAATTTCACTATCCTCAATATTATTTATATATCTAAATAATAACACTCAATCATTTTGACACATTACATCAATTTTATTCACTATTCATTTACCAAACCATAACTTCACATCATCTCTCTCATATTTTTACATCAAATCAACTATAATTATTTTATTTTTTAGTATTATTTTAATATAAACTCAAAATCTCACGAAATATGGGAGGGAGCAAGAAAATAATAATCAAACCGACCTCTATCTCAGCTCCTAATTCCGTGTCGAAACTTTGATACCTCTTGCGAACTAGCTCACTCAACGAGCCGTCCTGCCACAACAACACAAGTAACCACAATTTTTTTTTTTTTTTTAATTTTATTTGCCTTTATTTGTTCTTATCATTTACTCGGGGACAGTGAAAAGGAAAACCGTAAACGGTAAATGCATCAAAATGGGAAGTTTTACCTCAATCAGCTTGGCAGCATTTCGTAGCCCACGTGCTAGAGTATCCATTCCGGCTATATGAGCAATAAATATGTCCTCAACATCCGTGCTCTCTCTCCGCCTATTGAGTTCTCGTAAAATAACATTTATTATATTTACTTTTAAATAACTACTTTTTTTATAGGAAAAATAAATATTACAACTTGTCCTATACTGGTTTTTGGCTTTTGCAACCTCAACTATTTTTATTCTTCTAAAAAATGCAACCTGAAGTTTACGAAAATTCATTTTCGTAAACTTCACGTTGCACTTTACCAAAAAATATGATTTCCAAATACGTGCATAATACAAGTCGTAAAATTTTCTTTTTTTCTCCCCATATTTAAAAAGTGTGATTATGAAGAGAACATACAGTTTTGCATCAAAGTTGAACCCTCCCGGCGCCAATCCTCCCTGGCATTCATAACATAAACTATGTAAAATGGTAAAAAAAAAGAAAGAACTTATAAAATGATTTATTAAATTACGGAAACTATTTATAGTATATACAAAGATTTCGAACATATTTTACATACATTTTTAATCACGGTGAGCATTACTAATGTTGCTTCTCCAACATCCATCATAAATTGGTCGGTATCCCAACCTGCAACATATCCAAAATTTCTTATTAAAATTCTGTTTCATGAAAAAAATATTAAAAGTTTTTTTTCCTTTCGAGATAACTATATATACACATACCAACTTGAGGATCGCCAGTATTTGCATCAATGTTCCCCAATAGACCATTAATTCTTGCAGTTTCGACCTCGTGATGACAGCTGGCACATGTCAGAGGAATATATCGACCGGTTAACTAATGCTCGTAATATAAAGAAAAATATTTTATTTTCATGACTGTTGACTAGTTTCGGAAAAAAAAAAAATCGACACACCTGTGACCAGACAGAGTTGCATGGTTGCACTCGATGTTCAGTTTAAACTCATCTGCAGAAAAAGAAAGATTAATGGAGAGTGATAAATTTAAAATCACTAGTTTCTACCGAATTAGCAGTTTTCACAATTTTTATTTTTATTTTTCCAATTTTCTTGAGTGGTGAAAACTGAAAAACTTCTTTATGTGTTTTTTGGTGAAAGAGCAAATACACAAGTAATCAAACATAATAAGAAAAAAAAAATGGTCGGTTATTCCGAACAACTTTTCAAAAGTACATAGTACTTCAAGATATACCTATCAATCCATATTTACGAAGGAAGTTGGCTGCTGTAGCAGCATCCCAATCGTACCTGGCATGATTAAATACATCAAGACGCTAATAATTACTTAATTAATTAACAAAGATTACTAGCAAGCGAGAAAAGCAAAATGATAGTTCGACACATGAAAGTTAACTTACTGATGCTTTGTTGGTTCCTGTGGTTTAGGTTCAATGAGCAGTGTTCCTAAAAACAAATGTCAAATATCAATAAAACGAGAGAGGGAAAAAGAGCACAAGGAGTAGATGGAAATATTACCATTGAATCCAATTTTCTTCTTATATGCAACTGCAGCTTCAAAAAACTTCGCCTGCAAGAATATGATAGAGATAAAAGATTGGAAAACTAAATTTTTTTCGAATGATGGTAAAAGCTCAGCTTCATAGTCCCGCAAAAAAAAAAAGGAAGCAAACAAAGTGCAGTTTTAAGGCAAAAGTTATATGATTTAAGCGAAAAATAATCCTTACAGATACACTGTTTAACTAAACGAAGAAAAAGGAAGAAGTTGCAACATTACAAATCTTACCATGTGATTGAGCTCTCTTTCCATATCTGTGTTCAAAAGAGATTGATAACCCTCTCGACCACCCCAAAACACATAATTCTCTCCACCGAGATAATGTGTGACCTTACAATCATTAACTCCAATGAGAACGAGGAAAGTACACAAGGCATCAAATCAAACACGCATAAAATTTCTCAAAGAAATGAAATTAATCGGCCACATATACCTCCATGGCTTTCTTCACCTGTGCTGCAGAATATACATATACTCCTAATTCAGGGCTGTAAAGTGTAAAAAGCAAACAATGTAAGAATTACAATCCAGCAGACAACAAATAAATTAAGTATAAATAAATAAATGGAAAATAAAACAAATCAAACACAATATATCATAATTCATAACAGTACCTAGTAGCAGCCCCATGCATGAACCTGGGGTGGTAAAACAACTGAGCTGTTCCCCACAAAGGACGAATCTTTGTCCCCTGAAGTTAATTAGATTTCATTTTAGTCTTTGAACTTTTAAAAGTCCGTATGTATATAACTCCGACTCGTTTATATAAAGTTTTACCTGAAGTTCTTTGGCGAGAGAAACGACTTCATCCAAGTTAGCATTGGCTTCCTACGAAAATTCGGATCAGATAATATCAACAATTTCAAATAAAAAAGGAAAACTTGCTCTGAGATTTAAATAGATTTTAACTTTAGTAAAATATTAGTGTAACAGAGAGAATTCATATTCACTGACCTCAATTGTTTTACCATCTGGAGCAATATCCCTGTCATGGAAGCACCATCTATCAACACCAAGCTTCTCTATAAACTCAAAGTTTGCTCTCACTGAGACATCATTTCAGAAAAACACAATATAAGCACCTTTTACTCAGAAATGATAAATATCCATAACTAGAAAATTACAGATCAAGCAAAACCATACTTCTTCTTTTTGCCATTTCAAGAGAATTTGTGCCGTCTTCCCATGGCCAGACCTTAGTCGGCGAACCAAAAGGGTCAGCCCCTGTGCCCCGGAATGTATGCCAAAACGCAACGCTAAATCTCATCCAGTCCTAAAGCAATTACAGTTTTATTTATTTATTTATTTTTATTTAGTATTCGCCCACACAATCATCTGAATATCTGACCATTAAAAAAAAAAGAAAGAAAGAAAAAACCTCACCTTCATCTTTTTCCCAAGAATTTCCTCTTCAGCATTGTACCACTTAAAAGAAAGAGGATTCTTACTTGAAGGCCCCTACATTAGGACATGAAAATTGAAAACCAATCAGAAAAACTTAAACAACACAGACTTCCCAACACTAATTTTCAGTCAAGAAGTTTAAAAACCACAGTTAACAGATAAATAAATTTACCTCATACTTAATCTTTGGAATGCCAGGAAAGAACTCTCCTTCCCATTCACCACCATTTGCACTGCAATCGCCCGTAATATCGGCAGGACATGTCGGCGGGCCAACAGCAGTCTGAGATTAATTTCATTCAGTCCACAGTTAAACGTAAACCTAACACAACAACTGATGAACGAGAAAAACCTTGAGAACTTATTAGTTTGCGTAAAAATTGAGTCTTTACCACTATACTGGAAACTGAAATTAGAAAAAGTAGCAACAACAAAAACCCGGCTTTCTCCATCCTCTGCAGCCAGATTACAGAAATTAGAGCTGAGAATTAACAATTTCTGATAACAATATAAAAACAAGATAAATTGTAAAATAAACATGGGTAGTAAAACTGAGTTCTTGAAATGAAAATTTTCATCTACAGATGCAGAAAATGCTCAGATTTTCAATTCAGTCACAGCCCATAAACAATATTGAGTGCATACACAAATACATAAGTGATGAGATGAAATCAAGACTTACAGATACTGATCGGAGTTGGTGAGGTTTTCAGATGCGTGTCCAGAAGCAAAAATAGTAGGCGAGTAGACTTCCGACGAATTTATATAGGAGGTGAAATGGGATGGGATAATTTGGATTTTCGATGAATAAAAATATTTTATAAAAGGGCATTTTTATATGGATTACGAATTTAATTTTAACTGTTTTAATCCTTTTTGCAATCTCAAATATTTAGCAAATAATTAAAAGTGTTATGCATTATCAGTTTGTTTACGACTTCCGTGATTATGTTGATTAGCTTATTATTGTTGGTCTTATCCATAAAGCTCTGTGGATTTGTTAAGAATGACGTGGAAGCTAGAGGTGGAATCTATCCAGGCTTCGTTTTNTTTACATTTTTCACCACAGTTGGCGGGCCGGCCATGCTTATAATAAAAATGAGAACTCGAGCTCCTATATTCAAATTTCAAGTTGATTTTGACTTGAGTTGAGCTCTATTTGGGGGATTAACAAGTAGAATTATACTAAAAATTTAAAAAATTATGTAAAATTCTTATTTATTGAGTTTTAAATGAGCTCAACTCATTTGATGTGCTTATTAATGTTATGACCCGTTGGGGAGTTAGATTGGTTAGACGTCATACTGAGTATGCATTCTTTTGTATGCATGCAATGTTATGTGTTTATTAATAACTTCTGAGTTCATTTGTGGATTTGATGTGTTTGTTTAATACTCCTATGCGATTTAACACAAATTTTTATGAGACAATTTAATCATCAGGTGGGTAGACATATTTTTTTTTTTTTTTAATAAAAATGCATACTTATCATATGAAATATTATGCTTTAATTTATGTTGATTTTGAAAGTAAATCATTGCAGTTTAAAAGTATGCATATCTGTTGAAAAGCTATAGTTGTCAATTGTTAGTTTGTGTAGCAACATCCGTACTGGTGATTTATTTTATCACAACTATGGCAATTTTTGTTCACTACAAGAAAATGTTGAAATTTCAACAGAAATTTTTAATGAAAAATATATTCTAAGTGAATTCCAACGAGTGGATATTTCAATACTACTATTTTCGTTAGAATTTTCAATGGTTCCAACAAATATTGCACCAAAAATATTCCGTTTGAATGACTTTCCTATTGAATTTTGATGATTTCAATGATAGATTTTCCACCGGCTCAAATATTAGTGCAAATAAAATTCTATGAAAATTTGCATAATCCAACAGAATTCATATGCTAAAAAACCATTGAAAAAATTGTCGTTGAATCACCAAAGTTCATCTAAATTTCAATGGAAAACTAATTTCAACGATATACTTTCGTTGAAATTTCCATTAGTATTGTTCCAACGGAAAGTAACCATTGGAATATTCGTCAGAATTTTCATATATGGCCGTAGGATTTTTCGTTGGAATATGACAAGTTTTTTGTAGTGTGTTTAAGACAATATTTTAAATATCGCACCGGTGACCATACAGGACAAGCCACCGGTACGCGATTCAACTGGTTTTACCGTCTATTTTATCAGTTTTAATAAATATTAAATTAATTTATTATTATAAAATAAATAATATATAAAACAAACTATAATAAATACTAAAATTATATAAAATCAAATAACAATGTAAATATATTAAAATTAAATGTAAAACTTTCTATTTATATAAATAAATTAATAAAAATATGTTATAAAAATATTTTTTTTTTAAAAAATCCGGTATGCCCGGTATTTTAGCTGGTATTCTGGCCGGTATTGTCCGGTAAAACCTGTATTTTCCGGTATGAAGTCGGTATAAATCAGTATTTTGGCGAAAGCGATATTTTGAAGGTAATCATACCGGTTGGACCACCGGTATCCGGTATTACCGGTAATACCGGCCGGTACATACCGGTATTTAAAACACTGGTTTAAGATGTTATTTTGTTAGATTGAGCTGCCTGCGAACATGGATCTGTTCAGCTCGTGAAAGTTTGAGTTCAGCTTGTTCTTTTACTTTTACAAACTAAGTTCGAACAATTAATCAAGTTTGCGTATTAAATAGCCGACCTAAATTTCCTTAAAAAAAAGTTATTAAGACTATCCATTGAAGTATATATCTACTTACCAATTGAGCCATATTCTAACCAAGCTGCACACTAGTGAAACTAAATCGATAAAACATTCCACTTCAACAAACAATTGAACATACAAACACACCAAAATGTCAAAAATACATCAAACCAGGTAAAATAATCTTGAAATACAAATGAAATATTTCACTAATNTACATCAAACACGCCCTTAGCATGCCACGCCTCGTTCACGATTTGAACCGTGTATTTGGGGACGTGGAGGCTAGCAAAACCCGATGGCCATTGGTATATCTGAATCAATCCCGGGCTGCATTTGTCCGGATAAATTATCCAACCTAGAATTGAAAAAAAAAAAAAGAAAAAATATGAATATCCAAATATTTAGCTAGGTGGATTTCACCGTTGAGTCAATGTATATTTGTATGCATCTGTTAATTATAAACGGTGAAAAATTTGTGACTATCACGGCTTAAATCACACAAAGGAAAAAACACATTCAATCATTTTACAAGTGAAAAATAATATAGAAAAAAGCAATGAACTTATAAATCAATACACGTACATGAAATAGTGAAAGGGGAAATCAGCAGGACGATGATGCTCAAGTAGAGTTTGGCCATGAGAGAATTTTTTATTCAAAACATTAAAAAAAAAAAAGAAAAAAAAATAATATAGGAAGGAAATTGTGTTAAGACTGAGAAAATTCATTGGTTACATATATATGAACTATGAAGTATGCAATACGAAGTTCTTGACACCTTAGCAATGGCTGTCTTATCTGTACTTTGTTTTTCCTCTTTCTTTTTTGGAATTTGGGTTGGGGTGGGTCCCAGTTCTAGCAATGCATTGAGGGTGGTTTGTAATTTTGAAAAATATTCGCAGTCAAATAAAAAGCTTTGACTTTGAATTTTGACTTCACGAAGCAATTAGAGACTTTCACTTAACAAAAAATTAAAAAGATTGCACGAGTGGTATGCTTTAGATCTCTGATTGCTTCTAGTNACTTCAGCGAAAGCATTTTTACATGGTCAGATTGAATCTGATTACATGAATTTCAGTACTAACAACAATTCATAATTTTCATGTCATAAATAGTACGTTCAACACAAGTGAACATGTATAACATTGCTTTAACAGATCATTTAATTCAAACCTATGAATCTCACAGCAAAATAAATTGAAGAGGGAAAAAAAGAACAATACAGGTGAGAAATAAATTCTTAATACAATTTTCCTTTTCAGATTTTCCCAGGCTGGTTGGTGGTGTGAAGTAGAGAAATCAGGAGTCCTTGGTGGATACATTATTATCCCCCTTTTTTTTTTGTAGAGAATTTTGAAATTTAGGAATTTCTGAGATTGGAGAAATGATATTAATAACTAGTCACATAAAAATAAACAAATTTCATTTTGGTACCCCAAATTGGTTAAAATCCAAATAATCTGCCGAAAAATAAAGAAATATGAGTGATGTGATAAAAGTCTAATGTGATCGAATTATTTTTACTGTTTTCAAGGGATATTTTGGTACCATTCAACGTCTATTTCAACCGTTTGATTCGTTTCAGTGAGACAATCGTGTCACATAATATTTTGGAACACGTCCAGCCCATGATAAGTTCAAGTAATCCAATTGTTATTTCGTTGCTCAAGATTAATGTATCTTTCTAATATTCTTGCAAGTTATTAATGTATTAAATTTGACGTGTCCAAATTAGCATAATAGTTTTTAGTGAGCAATTTGGTGTATCAAAAAC